AATACACATTCCTTCTTGAAACTAGCAAACCTGTAGTAACCTACAGAATTTTAAGAATTACATGTTTGGGGGAATCCTCAAGGGAAAAGACCTTTGTTATCAATGAACTGTCGAAGGCCTCCATGGCCGGAATCACTGGGTTGTTGTGTGTTTTTCGGGCTGTATGGCCATGATCTAAAAGCATTCTCTCCTGATGTTTCGTCTGCATCTATGACAGGCACCATCAGAGGTTGAAAAGTCAGGAGATAATGCTTCTAGAACTTGGCCATACAGCCCAAAAAACCTACAACACCCTTTGTTATCACATTAGGATTACATTGGCAAAACACTTCTGGTTGTCACCACTAGATGGCATATGAATGAAACTTGAAAATTTGTTTCACCTCCATATATAAAATAGATTTAAAATGGCATTTAGAACAATTGTCTTCAAAAGATACATGAAGTGCCTGTTGCTGAATTGCTTCTTCTTATAGCAGACTGTACAGCCAATGTGTGTGTGTGTGTGGGGGGGGGGGGAGTAAGTTTATTTTGAATGCTGAATTTTAATCAGAATGGGATAGAAGTTGATGGACATTTTCAATCACTATCTTCTTCCATAACCATTCCTTTGAACTAGAAACCTAAATCCATGAATATGAAATCATTTTATATGTCTTATCTCTAAAAGCTCACAGTGCCAATAAACTTTGCACTTGCCTGGTGCCGTCGAGACAGTAATAATTCAATATTCTTTATTTCTGACATAAACGAGGCTTTGCTTTTCAGTTTCTTGTGAGACAACCAACAAGCAAGCCTCTGTGGATGCAGGAACATCTGGATCTAACTGAAATATTTATCACCATGACAGATATTGCCTGGTGATGATAGAGTCTGTTCTTGGCAGCAAAACAACCAAGACCTGATTCTCATTTGCAGTTATGTTCTCTGATCCTGTCCTTAGACTGCAAAGACTTCAGCTCCAGAGCTTTCTGATCCCAGACAGAGACAGGAATGTGGCTCCATGTAAACCATCCCCATGTTGCTTGTGGTAAAACAGCAGAATCCCAAAACCCTTTTCCCACCATCATCTTCCCACCAGACCTGGCTCAGGTCTATTTTACAGTTTTGTCAATGTATGAATGTTAGTACTGTATGCATTCATGTATAAGTCTAGAAATTTTAGTCAGAAAACAAACTGAAACAACTGGGTCAACTTAACCTTGAATGAATGTAAGTACTGTATCTTAACTCTTATAAAAAAGGAACCATTCCCTTCTCTTAGTAGAGTGGCAAAAGGCAAGAGCTGAATCTATTCCAGGAGAACCTAAAAGAAGCACTGATTCCCCCCCCCCCCCCCATGGTGGCAATTCTAGCCTTTTGGGATGCCTAGATAGGGAAATGGTGGTGGCGGCCAAGGCTGGGGTATCTGCAGTGGTCAGGAAGTCCTTTGCACAATTAAAACTTGTGCACCAATTGTGCCCGTTCCTTGAGAAGCCAGATCTTGCCACGGCGGTCCATTTTAACTAGTTTTTTAAAACATCATTTATATTTAATTCTGTTTCATGTTTTGTATATTTTTAGATTTTAAATTGTATTGAAATACTGTTAATATAAGTCACTTTGAGTCTCCTTTGTGGAGAGAAAAAGCGGGGTATAAATAAACATCATAATCATCACAAATAAATAATAATGTTCACTGATCCTTTATAGTCCTCTTTTAAATTCTTCCTTCTAGACGTTCATAACAAAGGTGATATAAAACATAATTCATTGCTTACAGGGGTGACATTATCCTTTGTTAACTCATAATTGCAATGTAATTATGCAATTATACCTTCATTATTGGAAATACTTGATAATCATAATTACAAGTTGCTTCAAAGCTCTGCTTTAATTACGACCAGCACATTCAAACAGAAAAGAGATTTAAAAAAAAACAAAGCAAAAAAAACCCCACAGTATATTTAGACCAGTTTTACTTAAATTTAATGATTTACCCAAGCCCAGAAATTGGACTTCTGTGAGATGCCTGAAACTCTGTAGAAAAAAAATAGGAGTACTCATTCTATAAAATTGTGTCAGAGTGGCCAAATCCAATGACAAATTTACTACCACATGTACCCTTACTGACCCAAACTTTATTGCTAGATTGGAGCCCCTGGTGACACAATGGGTTAAACCGCTGAGCTGCTAAACTTGTTGACTGAAAGGTCAGGTTCGAATCCAGGGAGCGGCGTGAGCTTCCACTGTCAGCCCCTGCTCCTGCCAACCTAGCAGTTCAAAAACATGCAAATATGAGTACATCAATAGGTACTGCTCCGGAATGAAGGTAATGACACTCCATGCAGTCATGCCAGCCACATGACTTTGGAGGTGTCTACAGACAACGCCGACTCTTCGGCTTAGATATGGAGATGAGCACCATCCCCCAGAGTCAGACTGGACTAAATCAATACATTGTTGTGAGACACCAACAAAGTCATCCATATACAAAGGTCCAAATGTTAAACTTTACAATAACAACCTGATTCTTTTTTTTAATATCAGCTACAAGAGAAATAATTTGTTAAAATCTGGAAATCAGTAATTTATATATAAGATCTTAACTTAATGATGTACCTTAGCCCTACTTGAAAAAATCAAATAAGGACTTCCAGGTTGAAATGTCTTGGTGTCACTTCATCCTGTAAGAGCTCTGCTGAAGAAGAGTTCAAGACATCAATATTGAGACTCACCCACCATCTGGCACAAATTTCCTCCCAGGGAAGGGAGACTTGGAAGATCGCACTCTTGTGTATATTTCCTGGTTCTAGAAACCGGGGGACGTGTGGTGATATCACCAAGATGCAGGTGAAACAGGGGAAGGTGGAACCAGCAAAGTGACATTATGCCCTATCACGGGACACAGTTAACTTTTTAATTTCCTCATTGAAACCTTATGAATGAACTTTAAGGAAGCATCCCAGCTGATGGTATTGCTTAACTTCCTGCATCGACACTTCTGCTGTCAATCCTACAGATTCGTTGGGGTAAGAAGCACAGTTTCACCATATTAAAAATCTGCATATATAAATTGCTATGTTTTACCTGAGAGAACACCTCTCTAAGAATTTCTTAAGCCATCCGGCATAACTCAACTTCTACCAGAAGCCGATCCTAAAAATCCCTTTGCAGGACTTAGAGATCCCAGCATACCTGAAGAAGTTGACCCTAGTGGTACACTAGAGGAACTAGAGATTCCTATAGAGCACATTTTATTCAAATCTTGGACCAATAATATCCACAAAAGTTACCTCCATTGCTGTCCACCGAATGTTGGTGGACAGCAATTGAGATTTAAATATGGGCTTAAAACTAGTCATATAAAATGTGGAATAAACACTGAGAACTGGGAAGCTCTGGCCCTTGAGCATTGTAACTAACTGTAACCTACAGTGGTATGGATTTTAATTCACACAAATAGAGGGTGAAAGAGAGAATCATGCCAAGAGGAAGAAGGAGTGTCAAGCATACTCTTGTCAGGACCACCTTTCACCTGGAAATCTATCTCTTCCCTCTGAAAGACCATGCAGATCCAGAATAGGTCCTTAATTGTCAGTTATGGACCCACCACCAAGACTTTACCTATGGAAGACAACCATAACAGTGATCACCTATGATAATCATACATATGTTATTGTAGCTCATAATCATACATATGTTATTGTAGTTGTCTATGACTGCTGCTGTTTTCCTTGTATCTCATTTAATTTAGAGAAACGGTGTATATTTTAAAAAAAATAAGCACACAGATTAAAGAAGACAGCTATGACATACTTGTCAGTACATGGCACAAAAATCATAGAGTTGGAAGAAGTTTTTAGTTATTGTTTTAATATATATGTTTATTTTATTATGTATGCATGTTTACATAGCATCAAATTGGTGACTATATAAGTAAGCTCTTGAGTTCCCTACAAGTGTTGAGAAAGGCAGAGCATAAATGGGGTAAATAAATAAATAAATAAATAATATATATATATATATATGAGACATGGGCATTCACAGGCTTTGGTATATATTGGGAGGATCTTGGAACCAAACCCCAATGACTACCAAAGGCCCACTGTAATGTTCATATCCTCTAAGTTATAAAACAAAATAACCTGAAAAGCAAAAAATAAATATGTTCTTGCTGTAATTTTATGATGCTGTTATACTTACCCACACCCTCTAACACTGCTGTACCTTTGATATGAGTTCAGTTCAAGTCTTATTATGAGCTCAAACATTTTTCAAAAAATGACTGCATATTAATGGGAATCTTTGAAGGATACTACAACAGATCAAAAGGATTGCAATAAATGATGCAATTATGCTTGGAATACCTTTAAAATCATTTCATAAAACAACTTCTCGGTTGTATATTCTCAGAATATGAAGCAAGAAAAAGGGTTAATCAAGACTGAATGACAAAAATGAGGGTGGGGGGATCACATTCCAGATGGATGAGTCCTCTGGCTACCCTTCAAAGACTTTGACCTCAATCCTATTGTAATTGGCAACTAGAGTAGACCCATTAAAATGCATCACACATATGTGATGACTCCTCAATTAGTCAATGGATCTACACTAAATAAGACTACCAATAGATCTCAGGTATCAAATTGTCTTTTAAAAAAATAAGAAATGAAACTTTTAATGCCCATTAAAAACAATTACAAAATTATTAATCAACAATCAGCACAGCAGGATACATTGGACATCAAGCCATAGGATTCATGGGTCAAAATAGGATAGGATATTATACATGCCATCCACATAATTTGATCCTTAATGGGGGTTTTTCCCCTTGGGATATAGAGACGGTGGAGAAAACACAGAAAGTCTACACGTGGAAGCTGACAAAGGCTGAACCTGAACCCTATCCCCACATTTTTTTTAAAAAAAGAATAAAATATTAATCTGGACACATCCATGGCTCACATAAAAAGCCGAATATCGCATTGCATTGAAACATTTCAAATTTAGCTTCTGTCACTGCTGGCAACATGGTATTAAAAGAAGGAGCTTAAGTTATTAAACTGAGCAGCTTTAATCATGCAGTCCAGGGGGGGAAATCCATTGCTACAGGAGTGCACAGGATTAAAGTATTTTTACCGCAAAGCCAATACATCTATCAGTTAGCTGCTACTGCTCCACTAGTGCATGCATGTCTGTGCATGGGTAGCATTGTTTGTGGAGATCCTGCTAACTATTATGGGCTCCAATGGATTTTTATTTAGAAATTGACCCTGTGACTTTGAACCTGGTCATCTTGGTAGCTAGCTATGTCATCTTGCTCTTGGTTTTCCTGATTTCTTGCATCCTGTATGACTGTAGAGGGAAAGACCCCAGCAAGGAGTATGCTCCTGAGACCCCAACAGAAGCCCAGCCTCCAATCCGGCTGATGGTGATGCAGCAAGGAAATCCCAGCAACCAGTGGCCGAAAGGACTTGCCCCCCCTTATCAAAATACCAACAGCCCCCCAGGGAAAAGGACTACAGTGGTTTGAGAAGGCCTTCCGGAGGTCCTGAGGTCTAGCCTAAGATTGCCTCCTCTGACATGTTTACATCCTGTTTGCACAAGGACAATGGAGCAAGGTAAGCCAAAATTGGCATGTTGTATGTGTGTGTGTGTGTTTACACATGCTCTAAAATTGTCTATATCATCCTGAGTCCTCTTTGGCTGTGTGTGTGAGATATTGCTAGAGTTTTAATGGAGTAAGAACAACCTAGCTCTCATGGATTTAAAAATGTGGAAGAAATGAGGCGGGGGATTCAATGGCAACACATTTCGAAGTAGTTGTGATTATTTTTTAAAGGACACCATTCTGTCCTTTGTCCATAAGAGAGGGGCACAACCAGATAAATCTCAAGTATGCCAAGGACAGGAATAGGCCTAATGTGTATGCAGCAGAAGTAGACATCTTTTGCCGGGCAAATGTGACATCAGGCACAATGCTTTTGTAAGGCAATGTTACTCTCTAGACTAACAACTTGGAGCTTCAACTTGGCATAGGAAACATTGGCTAGCAACCTGTTAGCAAAATATCCAGACATAATTGAATACTATATCTGCATGCTTTTGGGTCAGGGTGGATGGAGAAATTGAGCACTTCTGTCATGTATGATTCTCTCTCCCCACAACACATACCTGTCCTTTTTTTTAGCATGAACAGGGCAATCTTATCTGTAGCCATTCAATGACCAGAAAAAGATGTGGAGAAATTGAGTGGATCTGGGCATCCAGTGGGCTTCCTTTATGCCACTGCATGTTGGAAGAAAAAAGGCAACCTCCTGAACTCCCTGGGGGTCCCCCATAAGGATCTTTGGGGACCCAGACTTGGAGAGCTATCTTATTTCAATCAGCTGTAGGAAAACAACAAGTGGGCTGCCCTCATGTACCCTTTCATTTCCTTGTCCTTATCTGGCCACAGAATGACTGTGGACCAGGGTGCCCATCCTGCACACAGTGGGTTAAGTCTGTGAGGAGAGGATGAGACACAACACACCTGGTGGAAGGCTGCAGCCCACCAATGAGATGCAGGATCTCCGCCAGTGTCCTCAAGATGGCATGCCTGTTTCCCTGGACTAGAAGTTCAGGACAGCTTTCACTTCGTAAATGACCTCTGAAAAGAACAGCGGTGTCTAGAGTACCATCTCGCCCAGGGTTGTGGGATCCTATAAACCGGGATTACAAGAGACAGTGTGACGAAATGGTCAAGGTGTTGGATTAGGACCAGAAAGACCCATATTCAAATCTCCACCTGGCAGTCCATCCCTTGCTCCCACTCTCTTTCCACTTCACCTACTTCACAGAGTTATTGTAAGGACAAGATGGGATGGGACAGAGGGACAGTCAACTTCATAGCACTTCTTGGACAAAGGAACAATCTGAGGATGTGCTAATGTGATAGTTAATGAAGTGTTTTTGTTTTGTTTTGTTTTGGAGTATTACATCTAACAGAAGAGCATTAAGAGGGTGCAACCAGGGAGTAACAAATTACTTATTAAGAGATGAGGCCATTCTCAACAAAAGTCTCTTTGGTTCTCAATGATAGTTGGTCATGTGTAGACATCTGCTCACTGGCCAAGGTGTCTGAATAGGCAGTGGTTGTCAAACACTGTCAGGAACTTGTGGATGAAAATGGTTACCTGAATTCATTCTACTTTGTTTTCAGGACTTGTTTTGGTAAATAATTTCCCGTGGTCAATCTGAGGGATTTTTTAAGCCAAATTAAACCACAAGGGACTGGTATCTGTAGTTTCATATATTCATATCTGATAAAATATGTCATTTTTGGCCATTTTAGATCCCCAAACATGACCCCATAGTATTCTTGGGTCAGAAGTCTTCATTTCAATAATGTTTGCTATTCTCCGTGATTTTCTGTATCCACATGAAGTCCTGGAATTTATTCCCTATGGTTACAAGGTTGTATTGTATTTCATGCATACGTTGAGTCAGAAGTGCTCAGAATTGGAGAGCTTTCATGCAATCATTTTAATGGATTAAGCAAATGAATAGTGAAGGCACGGCATTTTCCAAACAATAGAGTAGAAAAATAAATAATTATTAAAGCTGACTAACATGAATAATTTATTGTTTGGAAAAGTATCTTTTCCAAAAAGAAGACTCAAGAAATCTGATTATGTGTTGTGAGAGAGAGTGCACATACATGTGTATGAAATAATGCATATTCAGGAAGGGTGGAGGGGGGGGGACACTTCAAAAACACTAAACAAAATTACCCACATGATAGACTGCAGTTAAGAAATTGTTGTTGTAAACTGTCATCTCTGGATTTTATACTGAATTGAGCACATATCATCTGTCTCCAAAATTCCATGTATCCAATGAGGTTCCAGCGCAGGACTTGATTTTGGATCTTTTCTACAAATACTACTCAGCAGTGCTGAAACTTTTGATGTAAACTTTACAGCCCTAAATACTAAATTAAAAGATATGCAATATGATTACATTATAGAAAATCTTCTATAAGGAATGTTTCCTTTTCCCAGCCTAAATCACTGTATGCCTTTAAAAATCCTATCACAGATTTTCGTGGCAAGATTGTTAAGAAGAGGGCTGCCACTGCCTTCCCCTGAGATGGAGAGAGGCTGTATCCACACTGTAGAATCATAGTGCTTTAACACCACATTAGCTGCCATGGTTCAATGGTATGGATTTCTAGGATTTGTAGTTTTGTGAAATATTTATTATCCTGTGACAGAAAGCTTTAGTGCTACAGCAAACTAGAGCCAGAGAAGTTTATGTAGTGGGTTTTTTTTGTTTTGTTTTGGGGTTGTTGTTTTTTTTGTTTTTTTTTGGTCGTGTCAGGAGCGACTTGAGAAACTGCAAGTCGCTTCTGGTGTGAGAGAATTGGCCGTCTGCAAGGACGTTGCCCAGGGGACGCCCAGATGATTTGATGTTTTTATCATCCTTGTGGGAGGCTTCTCTCATGTCCCCGCATGAGGAGCTGGAGCTGAAAGAGGAAGCTCATCCGCCTCTCCCCGGATTTGAACCTGCAACCTGTTGGTCTTCAGTCCTGCCAGCACAGGTGTTTAACCCACTGCGCCACCGCGGGATCCTATGTGGTGTTGAACTTCTACAATTCTACCAAGTGGATGGTCACAGAGTGTGACTTGGCCAAGTTCTTTCAGTGGGTTTCCATCGGAACCATTTGGTCTCTCTTCTACTTTCTCCCCTAATCCTGGCTTATTTGGTTGAAATACTTTCATTCAAAGTATGAAAGTGGTTTACATTCAGCTAACTCAGAAGAAGGAAGGGGAGAGGAGGGACAGAAATCTTGCCCAGTAGGCTCGGGTAAAAGCAAACTTCTGCCTTTTTTCCTAGCTTCTGTTTTTCTTCTCACTAATAATCTTCACCATCTTGACCACACTTTCATGTAACTTGGTGGCACATGTCCTGATTTTCATCTGTGAAACATATGAGGGCATGTGATCATGTTATAAATATTACAAATTTGCATGATGACTGCTGTTTTTACTTTGAGGTATTGCTAACAAAGAAAACTCTTTGAAAACTTTTTTATCCCAAAATTGTATTGCTATAGCTCTGAATCACTTGCAGAATTGTGAGTTAACACTTTTGACAGCCTCACTGATTTGGTATTGACTAGTTAAGACTAATAATTGGATTTAGGCCCTGTGCTCTCCTTTGGGTGGGCTAAGTGATTTCCAATTTCTGAATGGAATCCTCTTTGATACAGGAAGGCATGAAACATTGGTGCCCTTAGAAAAGTTTCGAGAGGATTTTCAAGTTTTATTGATGGAATGCTATGGTAAAACATGTTACTTCACTTTCTTCCAAAAATGGTGAACTAATCCACTTTTGCTCATCCTTCCTCGCTTATTCTGATGAGTGAAGCACTGGCATGAGTGGATTAAATCCTTCCTGACCTGATTCTCATTGACTGTTTGAGTCTACACATCTCAACATGTTTGGGGAGGAAGAAAGCTGAGAAAGAGATTCTGGGGGTGATAGTGGAGGTGGTAATTTATTTCCTGCCTCCTTCCCTTCTTTATTGTAGTGGCATTGCTAGGATGTGACAGTGGCATTTATAGGTTGTATACTCAAAAATGTCCTCTATGCTTCTAAAGCACGGAATCATTATCTCTATAAGTCTCTACAGACTGTGTGTGAAGGTCTCACACTACAGTGTTATGGAACAGATGGTTGGCACGCAGTTGAGAGGCAAAAGGGCAAACCTAGCTTTGAAAATGGAATCTATTCTAACAAAAATACCAGTCTAGGGATGAAATGGCCCTGCCTTCAGGAGCAACAGACAGGTTTTTATGTATATATTTTTCCACCTTCTCCTGAATCTAATGTTAGTTAACTTCTTCCTACTCAACTCAGAGTTCACCAGTACAGCAACTACCATTAGCTCAAAATGAAGAGATGTGAAGAATTTCTCAGTCTTGATTTCATTGAGTTTCCGTCTCATTCATGTTTTGTATCAGGTTACAAGAGTGGAAAAGCATGCAATTTTTAAATGAAGTCTTCCTCATGCATGTATTGTACAATTTATCAGATTTAGTCTACTGTTCCTGATAAACTGAAGCATATTTCTATGTATGTTCTTTATTTACAATATGCATGTTTTAGCCACGGGCACACATCTAGGAATGCCCTGTTATGCCTCCTAAATGTGGGACTTTCAAGGGGAGCGTTTACTCATGACAGATCTCCAGAGGTCCAGAAATGCAAGGCTGTATAGACAGCTCTTTCGATTCCTATCAAAATAATCAAGCTAGCAACAGTTCAAAAGTGCCACCTCCACTGAGACTGCTCTACAACAAATATCCCTGTTGCCCAACAAATGTGACATGCACATGCACACACAATAATATTTCACAAGAGTACAGACATGATGCTTATCTCTTCTGTTTCTTACAATCTTGCTGTTTTCAAGAGAGCAGGAGGCTGACAGGAGGGTGATATCTTGATCTCAGTTCTGTGCGGCAAGACTTTGCCCTGACACATGGT